CTACATAAGGTGAAGATACAAATTTAGAAACCATTATTATTTAGAATCTACATGGTATTCAGAGCCATGAGATAACTTAAAAGTACTTATAGGTTGAGAAAATAGGAGACCTGAGGACAAAATACTTAAAAAGTCAATGAGAAGGAATTGAGAAGGAAGTGAATACCAAGAAAAAAAACCCAGAGAAATGAGATGACAAACATGAGGAGGTATATCGTGGAAACAAGAGAGGAAATAGGTTGGACTAGGTGCGGTGCTGATACCGTAATCCCAGCTACTACAGAGGCTGAGGCAGGAGGATTAGAAGTTTGAAGACAGCCTGAGTAATTCAGTGAGACCTGTCTTTAAAAAATGCTGGGATGTAGTTCACAGGTACAGTGCTTGTCTGGTATGGGTTCCTTCCCTGAGTTGGAGAGGTGGGAGTGGTGAACAAATCATCAAATGTTGAAATGTTAACATGAGGACTGAGAACTGACCCTTGTCTTTGGCAACATGCAGGTCGCTGGTGACTCCGATAGGAACTGATGCCGTGGAGCAGGCCTGGTAGATTAGACCGGGGGAGAACAGAAACCTGATTAGACAGGTTTATGAGATAACTGGAGGCCAGGGAATTCCTCTTTCAAGGAGTTTTATTACAAAGTAGAACAGAGAAATGGAGCCATGCTAAAAGTTTTTTCTAGAGCAGATGATCTTAAAGGCGTTTGTTTATTGGAGGCAAAATCCCATAGAGGGGAGAAACTTGAGGCAAGAGAGAGGAGATCATTTCAGGTGAGAAGTCCTTGAGTAGGTGAAGGAAACAAGATCCACTCTTGTAAAAGTAAAAGAAGCAGGAAAGAAGGCAGAGAACATGGATTCAGCTGCTGTCTTTGGGTGAGACTGTGGTTCAAACATTCTTTTATTCATTTATCAAATCCTGAACTACTGTGTGTGGGACGCTCTTCTAAGGGGAAGATATACAGCAGCCTTGTCCCTTCTGTATGAATGAAACAGATGAAACAAAACTCATGTTTTCATAGATTTTAATATTCTGTCGAGGTGACTCAAGCAATAAACATATTAGTAGACAAATGAATGCTCAGAAGATAATAAACACTATGGAGAAAAATGAACTAGAGACTAACTAGAGTAAGGGATTTGCAAAGAGCTAGAGAGGACCAATGTGTGGAGAAAAGGCCTTACTGACTAGGGAATATTGGAAAGCAGACCTACAGGATGAGCAAGGGAACAACAAGAGTATCTACAGGAAGATGTTTCTAAGCAGAGGGAACAGAAAATGTCAAGTCCCTGCGGCAGGAGCATGCGTGGCACAATCTGAGGAATAGCAGAAGCCAGCACAGCTGAACAAAATGCTCAAGGTGAGGAAGTTGTAGGAGACATGCAGACAGGCAGAGGAGAACAGCTTGCCTATGGCTCTGGCAGTAAAGGCATGAGCTATACTCTGAGTGAGAAGGGAAGCTCCTGGAGAGTGTGGGGCAGATATGTTACCTGATGTGACTACCATTGTGAAAGGTGCCTTTGGCTGCTGTGGGGATTGGGTTATGGGAGGCAAGGATGGACAAGCAAGCACCACTTAGGAGACTCCTAAAGTCATTCAGAAGGGAGGTGGTGTAGTTCTCCCCCAGCTGCTCTTATTTTCTCAGTGAAGTAAGAGGCAATATCTTACAATATGAGAGTAAGGAGGATAGGGTGGAGGCTTGAGAAGAGAAGCTGTGCGAATAGTGGGTGATAAATTCATTAAGGAAATATGATCGACGAGCTGCCGAGGCAGTTGACTGCCTAAACAGTTTGCTAGCCTGCTTATTTACCTGAGGACCTCTGAGACGCATCTGGCTGTGCATCCCTCTGCCATGTGTCTCGTCTTTGTCCTATCACCCTATTCTTTATCTTCTGAGTCCAAGTGGCTGTAAGAGCCCAAATATTTATTTAAAATAAAATGACAGCCTGCTGGCATGTCTAGCTTTTTGTACCTTATCTGAGGGAGACCCTCAGAGTACCCAGCACCTGCTAAGAACTACTCTGCATGTGTCTATCATTCCACCACCTCACACCAGCACTCAGTGTGGGAGGTCCACAGAGCTCCCTGACCTTTTTTCTTTAAGAGAAAAAAAAATAACAATAAACCAGAGTTTCAAAACAGGTTAGTATGACCCATTCTCCTGCCCATTATACAGACCTCAGCAGGATTTGATGGAGACCCATGGAGTTCCTCAGGCTATAGAGGGGAAGATATAAGATAGTTACTATGTGAAAGATGGGGGTCTCACCAGGGAATTGGTATATCTGGTATTGGTACTTAGGGTTCAACAGAGGTTGAGGCCATTTATATATACTGGCACCAATATCCACCATTGTGAGGGTTTTTTTTAAAAAAAAATCATCAATACTCATATCTGCAAAACAGAGACAGATATTTTAACTTATCCAGGACCACAAACACTTGTCAGGTGGTTATTGTGGAATAACTAGAGATTAAGGGAATGAGGGTGCTGGTGAGAGAGCTATTACTATAGTTTAGGCTAGATAGGAAAGGAAGTGGGGTCAAGAGAGGGCTGCTGTCCTAGGAAAAAGTAGAGGCCCAGGGACTGGAAGGTATGAGGAAATGCAAGAGGAGAGGAGAGGAGGACAGAAGTAAGAAAAGGAAGGATAAGATACTGTTGCAGAGGGGAGGATATTAGGGTTGTAGATTTCTGATACGGAACACTTGGGGGGTGTGGTCCCTGAGACTACCCATTGGAGGGAGGAGCTAAAGTAGTTTGAAAGTAGGTTTCCATGAAGTGGAGGTGCTCCATACATGTGGCATGGTGTCCTGCAGGATAATCCATGATTTAGACTAAGGGAAACTGACAGCATGAGACACAAAACAAGAGGTACTACAGTACGGGATACAAAGAAGAGTTTTCACGACAGGAGAAGAATAATAGGCTGAATTAGCAGGACAAAGCTAGAAAAATGTAAACCCCTCATTTTACTTCATCCTGTTCTAATCTATTTAAACCCTTTATCACCCATTTTATTTCATCCTGTTCTAATCTATTTAAACACTTTATCACCCTGTTTTGATTACAGAAATACAATATCTATATATTTTCAAATATTAAGAATGTTTTTGAAATAAGCTTTTATTTTTATTTACTTATCCTTTTGTTAGTAGATGATTGCAGTACACAATGTTTACATTCCTGGTGTGGACTTGTATAGGCTGTACACATCTTAATTACTTCTTCATACCCTTTCCTTCCTCTCTCTCCCCTCTCCCTTCATCTCTTGACCTCCTTCCCACTAAAGATCTATCTTCCTACTTCCTATCTATCTTTTATTTTGCTAATTATTTATAAGAAATAGCCTTTAAATTGGTCTCCTTGATTTTAGTCTTTTTTGATAGTTTTTTTTTCTGCAGAAAGAAATAGAACAAAATAAAAAATGCCTTTATTGCTGGCAAGGAGAAGACCACAGTGGAAAGGAGGGACATGGAGCTTTTGGGGCCCTCACCTGGGGACAAACGCTAAATAGGGCCAGGTTGGAGGCCAGGTTTAGTGGGTGGACCACCTGACGTGGCAGACCGGGATTGGGTGGGAGTGTGGGAAAAGGAAACAGGACATTACAAAAAGGGAAGTAAGAAGTCCTAAATTGACTCCAAAGAGGAAGGGCAGGGCTTAGCACATGGCTTCCAGTGGCCAGCGCCATATTGGCTTGGTACCACAGTGACTCAGCAGGAATCCTAGTGAGGCAAGAAACCCATCATTTTTCCAGTAGTCTAACGTGCATGGATTGGACATATATCCTTTTACTCCTGCTCAAATCCTTCAGCAACTTTTCCCCTGCCTACAGAAAAAAGCTCAGATTCCTTAGCCCCACCTTCAAGATTTAAGGCTTAGACTTGGCTTCAGTATAATCCTTGTTGTTATGTGTCTAGTAGAGGCAATATTAAATATTTAGATTTTACTGTTTTAAATTTAGTAGTTGTTATTTCACCTAATCCTGGCAGGCATTCTTGAAAGTAGTTTTGTTAACTATCTGGAATGTTCTCTTCCATTCCTCCAAATGTTGAACTCCATTCATCCTTCAAGGGCCAATTTAAATGCAGATTCTTTCTCTGCCTTAAATGACACCTCCCCCTCTGTCCTTCTGTAAAAATTCCACTTTAAGCCCTACATTCCAGCTAGTCATGTACCTAACAAGGAAGAACCGTGCATAATTTATCATTGCATCCCAGCTCATAACCCCTAAGCCAGTATCATACATTCTGCAAATATTTGATGTCTGATGACTATATGCATTCATAAATTTGTGGTGAATGGAGTTCTTCTAGTGTGGCAGTAATTTCAAGAGCCACAGTTTTTCACTAGAAGATTGATCTTCCCAAGTTTAGTGTTGATATTTTTTATCCTCAATTCTTAGCATTCTTTTGGGAGCCTTGTAAGTTTAATATACAATAAATACCCAATAAAATCTTAGTAAATGAAGTTGAATTATGGCACTTCACACCTATGCCATTTTTGTCTTGTCAGTCCCACATACTCTTCAAGTGAACAGGGTCTCTGTCATTGCAAATAACTGCTTATATCCTGAATGCTGGCTCCTAAAACAGGACATACATTCTCTTAACAAAGACCCGTTTATTCATTTAATCTTTGACCCACTGATAACTTGTGATTGATAACTTGTGATTGATCTTGGTGTATTAAGATTATCTTAAACAGTATGGATAAAAAGCAGTTGGCAAGAATAATGAGGTGAAAGAATGAACTTGGCTTGTTACTGAGATTTAAATGCTCTTTATGTGGAGAAAATGAAATGGATGCCTATCTTCCATCCTTGTGGTGGGATTTTCTGAAGGCAACTCTTCTTCTAAGGGCCATCATTTCATAGTAGAATTGAGAATATTCCCCACCAGTATTAGAGCTGAGAGGAAACAGGATTTTCCAGGCGCCATGACTCTTGCAGAAAATAGACGTCTCATGTTTACATAATAACCTCTCCTTTTTCTCCTCTCTGGCCAGGCTGTGACAACATGCTGATGGGTATAAAGTCCCTGAAAATAGTGAAGAAGACTATGGACCCAGATGGCTCTTGGATGAAAGATGCTGGCAGTGACTCTCCCAAAGTGTATCTTTTCATTGGATCCAGAAGCAAAACTGTTTTGGAGTTTGCAAATATTCGGGCATTCATGGAGGACAGCACCAAGCCAGCTCCCCGAAAGTTACTGCTACCACTTTCCTGGCAGGGATCAGGCCAAGTTCTCTATAAAGGTTTTCTATATTTTCACAATCAAGGGACTCCTAATGAGATAATCAAATACAACCTGCAGAAGAGGACTGTGGAAGACAGAATGAAGCTCCTAGGAGGGGCAGGCCGAGCATTGGTCTACCAGCACTCCCCCTTCACTTACATCGACCTGGCTGTGGATGAGCATGGGCTCTGGGCCATCCACACAGGGCCAGGTATCCAAAGCCATCTGGTTCTCACAAAAATTGACTCTGGCACGCTGGGAATAGAGCACTCATGGGACACTCCATGCAGAAGCCAGGATGCTGAAGCCTCATTCCTCTTATGTGGGGTTCTCTATGTAGTCTACAGTTCTGGTGGCCAAGGTCCTCATCGAATCACATGTGTCTATGACCCACTGGGCAATATCAGTGATGAGGACCTGCCCAACTTGTTCCTTCCCAGGCGGCCAAGAAGTCACTCCATGATCCATTACAACCCCAGAGATAAGCAGCTCTATGCTTGGAATGAAGGAAACCAGATCATTTACAAACTCCAGACAAAGAAAAAGCTGCCTTTGAAGTAATGAACTGCAACCCCGGAGGGATAGAGACATGATTTTGGTAGATGTTTTCCAGAACACTGAGGCCAGAGCCCCTCCACAACGTAGCACACTGCTAGTCACGAGCAGGAGTAGGATCTAGGAGTGGGAATACATACACATTCTTTCCCAGATGTCCCTGCCTTAGGTATCTTCCAATAGCTTAGATGAGTCTATCACTTTAAAATTTTCAATCTGTGGATGACTTCATTACTCATCCAAACTCCTTGGCCCTTAAGGCCTCCCACATTGGGATCCTGCTTAATCCCAACCTTTTCTTTTCTGATCGCCAGCATCTACTTTAATTCTGGCTTTTTTTTCCAATAGTTCAAATTGTATGCCCCCTCCTGATACTCAGAGGGTTCTTCTCCTCTGGCTTTTGCTTAGTCTCTTCACTCTTTATAAAGATTCTTTCAGGGCTGGGGATATAGCTCAGCAGCATAAGTGCCTGCCTTGCAAACGGAAGGTCCTGAGTTCGATTCCCAGTACCAAAAAAAAAAAAAAAAATTCTTTCAATTTTTTTCTTACTGCCCTACTAAAACTATTTCTTATTGACATTTAGTCTTTATTTCCTATAGCCTTCCTGTTCCACCAAAAGGTAGATGGATATAATAATAAATATATTAACATTTCAATACCACTCTCTAGTTGCAAAGCATTTGCACATCATTTAATTCTCTTCTTGCTCTTGTGAGATATGTAAGCCTTTACCCATTGTCATTCTAGAGATGAGGAGAGTTTAGATGAGTTATTCAAAGTATCATAACTCCAAAATGAAAGAGCTAAAAAATATTGCAATCCTCATTGACTTTCCATTGCCCAAGGAAGCATCAAATATGTATTTTTGTTCACTCAGTGTTTTATAAATCAATGTGTTCAGCAATTCAGCCTAAGAAAATAGGTTTTGCCCTTTCAGCCACTTCTTCATGTCTGTGCAAGGTCCTTCATGTCTTCCTACTGGTCTTTCAAAAGCTCCTTCCTCCAGGAAAGCAGCCTACGGGTGAAGACCCCACCACTGGGCTCATCTTGTCTAACTGTCATTTGCTTCTTTCTTCTTGTTTTAACTATAATAAAATTGACACTAAGCAAATAAGCTCATCAGGCTATATTTGCCTACATACCCTCAGTATAAAAGCTTTTAGGGAGTGCTGCCTGTGTGAAGTTTACTGTGAACAGCCCCCAACACGCAGAAGCCCTTGGTAAATATTCTGGGATCTGGCGGAAAGCCGGAGAGCAGGCAAGTGGCTCTCGGCCATAGCAGCCATGCCGGTTGGCCCAGAGGGCGGCATGTGCTCCTAGAGAGGACCTTCTTCAAAATGTTTCCCATGCGTGTGTTCAGTTCAGCAGAGTTTGGGTCACAAGTGCAGGCTGTGGTGCCAGGCTGTGTCTCATGCAGAAGCCTCTGCCTTTCCAGGTTGGTCACATGAGAGGGCTTGCTTTGTGTGTTTGCAGCTGTTTCCCTGTCTTTGCCAAGCTCCGGCTGTGACCTTAAGCAGTGAAGGGGGATTTCTTTCCCCCATAGAGTTTCAATAGATCTTCAGCAGAAGGAAAATAACCAACCTATAGACACAGTGCAATGACCCACAATTCTATCAGAATGGTATAGAGAGTCCAAATCCTTTGTGGAATGAGGCAGGTATGAACAAATAAATATGGTGCTACTACCCGTTGCACAGGTCCAGGGCCATTCTCTGCTCTGTGGATAAAGTAACATTATCTATTTCAGATATAAGGAAAGTGGCCAGCTTCACAGTGAAGGATGGAATGGAATTATCAACAGGGCAAGTCTGGCACATAAAGCTCCTTTGAGGCAAGAGGACAGTTTGCCTGTAATGTGCTGTCTGGCTTGCATCTGGGGGTAGGCTTGGATTTGACAGTTCTGCAAGGACTTGTATTTGACACCTTTCACAACTCACCCCAATACCTAAATCCCTGCAACTAGAATCCTTTTAGGTCAAAACATTTTTCTCCAGGAAGCCCCTGTTCATTTGCTATTTTGCTTGATAGCATGCAGGCCTTGGAACACCTTGAGTTTCTTTTAGGTGAACTTTTCATCTCTGGGGACTCTCACTGGATTTAAGTGAGGGAGGAGCAATGCCTCCATGACTACCCAGATGAGTATTAAATTTGGTTGCATGTAATAATCATTTGTGAGCAAGGCGTGGGGACACACATCTGTAAGCCTAGCAAGTGGGAAGCTGAGGCAGGACAATCTCTGAAAGTTCAAGGCCAGCCTGACTCTACAGTTAGATCCTGTCCCTTTCAAAAAAAAAAAAAAAAAAATCACTTGAGGAGCTTTAAAAGTCTTAATGTCCAGGACATATATCCTCTGGGTGTGGGACTGAGAAATCAGTATTTTTAAAGTCCTTTCCCCCAAGGTGGTGCCAAAATGAAAATAAGCCTAAGAGCTAGTTACTTACAAAACTTAGAAGAGTAATTGCATAGTTCTAAGAACAGGCTAGCATTTTCTGGGGACTGAGCTAAGGGTGGTGGATCCCCTGGGGGCAATATGTAGACTTGGAAACACTCAAGAACTTGGGTGAAAGGCAGGCTTCCTGTACAAAAGCCTCTCTGCTGCTATTTTAAGAAGTGAAACTCAGCTAAAGGGTGTCCTGCTGTAACACAACTCTGCGGGCCCAGCCTCCCTCTGCTGGCTTTGCCCTTGGTCTGCTGCTGGCCAGGTTCCTGCAGTGACCACAAGTCTCCTATTTGCCAGCGTGGCTTATGCTCTGTTCACATGAGCAGGTCTCTGGGCACACTGATAATTTCAGACCAGTAGGGTAAATCTGGTTGGAAAAAACATGTGTCCCATGGAGTTTGTCAACACTCCAGCTTGTAAAGAACAGGAGGCCAGGACTGTAATGACTCCCGCCAGAGCTGGGGACCAGGTCAGTGTGGCTGGTGTTGCTGCCATCGCAGGCCAACCAGGATTTTAGTCGGATGAGCTGAGCAGCAGGTCCTTGGAGGCCCAGGCTAGGCAACCACGGGCGGCAAGACCTCTGGCCACACTCTGCGGGTAAGTGCTAGACTTGGTCTTCAGGGCCCCGCCCTCCCCATTTGAGAATCGGCTCCTGTGGCCAGGCAGCGCCAAAACTCTTCCTGGGCCTGTGGCACCTGACCTCGGAGCTGGGGGACAGGAAGTGCTCTCGGCCTTCAGCTGTTCCCAAGATCCGACACCAGAGCTTTCGTTTGCCGCCAACCACTAGAAGGACCTTCATCCCGGAGACGCGGGGTTTGAGCTCATCGGGTCCTGTGGTGACCGGACATTTGCCAACCAGGGTGTGGGACGAAAGGTGAAGGTGGGCAGAGCTCTGCGAGGAGATGAGTCTATACTGAGGCCAAACGCAGTTTCGCAGGAATCTGGAGGGGAGGGGAGATCCGGACGCCCCAGGGGTAGCTGTGAGGCAGGTGCTTCTATTATGGGTTTTCGGGGCTTCTCTCTCTTCTCAGTTCTCGCACAAGTTTGTCTGCGTTGAAAGCGCGGTGCGGAGAAGCTGCAGTAGCGAGCGAGCTGCCCGGGACCTCCCCGCGGCCCTAAGGGTGCAGGGGTGGCGTGGAGGGCGGGGCGGGCTCCGGTGGGGGCGGGGCC